TATTTTATACCATTAGAACCGTCTCATCAAGACGAATCGAATGGCGGTAAGATCATCTCTTTACAATTAATATTGGCGAAGTTACGATACAATAAAGTTTTAAGTATAATTCTGGCTAAAATTATGATAATTTTTGGCCGGAATTATGATATACAAATATAAGAAATTTTTTATATAGTCACATCTCTTTATAATCACCAAATATGGACTGTTCCAAATGTGTGACTATAAAGAGAGTTGACTGTACATCACAAAAATTCAAAAATTGTGAAAGTTCATATTTGTTTATTTCGTATTTATTTATATAGATTATAATTAGCATCAATTTAACCAATTTAGCAATGAGACGATACTATTTTAGTAATCTATTTTTAAACTTTAACTAATTAAGTTATGAGATGATGATTATTTATATTTTACATGTGGTATTGCATTATTCTATTAAAAATATTCATGGAAAAAAAAATTTTTCATCGTTATGAAAAATAAAAATAAAAATAAAAAATGTTTAGCATAAAAAGTTTTTAAAAATCATAACAATTAAAATTTGAATAAAATGAAAGAAGAAAGCATATATCCACAAAGTCCTTTCATTAAATATTTGATAGCAAAAGAACTTTCCATTACAAAATTATAAAAGAAGGAACATATCCTCTTGGTAAACAACTTTGTTATACTAAAAAATTAAAACATCCAATTCCTCATAATTATGTTGTTAAAACTAAATATGAAAAAGCGGATTATGTTGTAAATGTTCAATTGAATATGTGGAGTCAAAACCTTTATTTAAAGTTTGTTTTGGTACAAATTTTACAAGTGAAGTACAATCCTCAGAATTTTCAATGGATGCTGCTTGCAAATACTATCAGGTAATATTTATTAAAGGACTTTTTTATTGCAAATACTTAAAATTATTTTAAATTATTAGGAGTTTAAAGAAGGTAGTACTACTAAAATATCTGGCTCTTTATTATTTGGTCTTAAATTATCAAGTGTTGAAAAAATACGTAAAACAATATCTCTAGATAAAATTCGTCCACTTACTAAGCTTAGTAACACTACAAAATGACGCAAAATATTAGGCCTATCACAACATATATTAAATGTTGTTGAATCAGAAAAAGAAAATACATTTCATAAGACGGACAAAATAAAACTTAAGCAAGTAACATTTCAAACTTGCAATGATGATGTGTATAGTGTTAATTTTGGGCAATTAGATAAAGTTAAAAAAACAAAAAGAATTGAAGTAGTAGTTAAATCATTGGATAAGGGACATGTTTCTAGAGAAGCATATCGATCTATAGCAAAAATTAAACCAAATATTCCACGTGAAGGAGATGTATATAATATCTAACAAAAAATAAATAGTGAAATGAAAAAAATGATTCCATTAACACTTGTTGATTTGCTACAACCAACTGATTTTGTATTAATTATAGAAAACCCAGATATTATAGATAATACCATTGTCATTAACATGTTGGAATCAGTAGGAAAAGGTGGACAATGACGTATAACAAACATTTTAAATTATATTATTCCATTTTACATTAAACGGGAAATTTTAATTCCAGGAAAATCAACGTTACATATTCGAATTTCAGGTGATGGCCAGTAGTACACTACTTATATAAACAATATATTTTTTAAAACTTTAAACCAAAATATATAATAACATAAAAAATTATAATAATGTTTTTTTAATAAAGTACTGCATTCACTTTTAGTTTACAAATTTTACATTATGATTTTTCTTTAAAAATCCAACATTTGCAATTAATTCTCAAAAGTAATAAAGCATTAAAATCATAAGAAGTAACCCTGATATTCAAGGTTATTGTCTCTTAAATAAAAATTTGGATTTATTTTGAATAAACTACATGCATTTTTTGTAATTTGAACCATTTTTTAGCTTTTTAGTGTAATTATTTTAATCAACTATATTTTACAAACATCACCCACACATTCTCTACCACCTTCTTTAATATCATTTTGCATATTTAACTTGTGCCTTGCTCTTACTAATTTCACAAATTCCGAATATCCTCCAATAAATTCATACTTACCCGGGCTACATCCTTCATAAATTAAGGGAGATGATGTGTGATTTTTTGATTTAGGAATTAGCTTAAGAAAAAATAAAATAAATGAGTGAAAACAAACAGATATACACCGACACAGAGAATTGAATAACTTACCGAATGAAGGTCCTTTATTTTGTCGCTCCACTTGTTTAATTTGATTTCGTGATCATTCAATAAATTCAAGAAGTTAGTGTTTAAAGAAAATCAAGTAAATAATTTTATTAAACATATTTACGGTTTCCTTTTTATGCGCGTCGACGCTAACTTGAATACGTGTATCAGCATTTTTGTTAAAAGAAGGATCTTTCAACTTATAACCTAATTCTACTGCAGCACTAAAATATGAACAATTGATAAATCCTTCCTAAATTTACAATAAAAGGATTTATAAAAGTCAGTTAAGAAATTACGTAAAACTTTATTATTAACTTACGATATGGTAACAAATATTTGAAGGAACAGACTTAGTGTTTGAAGAAAAGAAATAATTCATTGTTAAAGTGAGAAAATATGGTTGAAAATTATTATGATGATAAATTTTGCGAGTTCCAAGACAATTTCGAAACTGTAAAAGACGAAGAACGAAATGGTTCATACTGTAAGAGGCAGAACAAGAGAAAATCTAATCTGCTAAAATTTTCATAAAGATTAAATGTAACACAGCATATAGTGGCTTAGTTGCCAAATATAAAAACGATTGTGGATGTTTGGGAGTATTTATTTGTTTTTATTCGAAAATAATACAATGGCCGCTTCAGATCTTCAAACGGCGGCACAACTTTTACAACAAGAACAAGACTTCCAATTTCTTGCTTTTGATTCAACAATTGCTTTAGAACTTGGTCTTTTGATTATCAAAACTGCTCAACAAAAAGGAATTCCTGTAGTAATTTCTATTAAACTTAATGGACATCTTTTATTTCACTATTCTATGCCTGGAACATCACCAGCAGATGTAGAATTGGCAAGGAAAAAAAGTAATGTCGTTAGTGAATTCCGTCATTCTTCTCTTTATGTAGGAGAATATTTAAGCCAGCAAAAAGGAGAAATATATTTTGTTGATGAAAAAGAATACGTGGCACAAGGTGGTGCTTTTCCATTGATTGTTAAAGGTGTTGGTGTCGTAGGATCAATTACTGTTAGTGGATTGATACATACGGAAGATCATGATCTTGTCATTGGATGTCTAAAGGAATTCTTTGGATTAGAAAAAGAAGGAAAAAACAAAGTTGAATAGATTATGGGCTTAAGAACTTTATTTGTTTATTAAGTTGTAAAAATGATAATTCGGAGTGTGGCAGTTATAAATAAAAATATTCGTTTGGATATAATTTTTAATATATTTTTCAGTATAAAATATAGAAATATTATAAGTAATAAGGCACGTATAACTGAAGAAATTTTTATTTTGGCCTTACTTCTTCAGCTTTTTTCTCAATTTCTTTTTGGTAATTAAGTATTTCAAATAATCCAATAGGTGTCTCAGATGATTTCCATTCATCAGCAAGTCTTTCTTCTTTAAAAAAAATTTCAGCAACTTTGGCATCAACTTCTTTATTTGTTGCTCCACCAATAACGCACAATAATAAAGATGATTCACCAAATGACAAAGATTGTTGCCTCCAACCATAATAAAAATCTTTATTACGTTCTTTGGAGTCTGTGTATCGTACATGGTGTAGTTTTGCGAGTGATTCAATATTAATTTTTTCACCAACTTTATATGTTAATAATAAATCTACTAAAGTCTTATCGACATTTACATGATCGCCAATCGCGGCATCTTGACGAGATAAAGACGCGTCGTGTTCGAGAATACCATGTCTTTGAAGATCACTTAAAGACCTGTTTTAAAATTAATCATTTAAGTGTAATTGAAAAATATAATTTTTCATCAATATAAGAAAATTTCATACATTTTTTGAAATAATTTTCCGTACATAGTAAAAGCGCCAAGCGTTTGTACTGAAGCAAAAGCTCTGCTGGTATTAAAACCTTTATTAAGAGCTTCAATTAATTCGGACATAGAGAAATCTTTTCCACTTCTTGGACTATAGAAAAAGAATAAAATATTTACCATGTGTGTGTATATATAAAATTATATAATAAACTTACAGGAAACCATGATTAGCCAAACAGTTAAGGGCAGGACAAGGTGACCTTACGTCATTTTCACCAGGAGGTCTATATTCAGGATGAGACATATTTGAAAGAAATAAAATAATTAATTTAGCATCCATAATTAGAAGTTATTTATACCTAAATTTAGCAATACTATCATTGATGACGTAATATTTTAGTTGGTACGCACAACTCACTAGAGACATCCGTTTGAATTTTCGGTAAAATTAAAAAATTTTAGAATAAATATTCTTTGCTAGTCATATTTATTTCGATTTTATACAGTACAATGATAATGAGTATGATATGACCCTCGTTGTATGTATGGTATGGTCAAGAATTTTAATATGAAAGTAGGACCATACATACCAATTTTTAGTACCATACGTCCATACCTTATATACAATGGAGATCATATCACTCATTATCTATATTATCGATTTTATATATAGCAATAGATTCACTATTAAATTCTATCCATAAATCTGAACGATCTTCCGTACGTACGTCAGTCGCACATCTGATTCTTTCGGATCAGCATTTTTTTTTTATCACAAAAATGAATTCGATACTTCCATCACAAATTAAAAATAAAATTAAGAGAGAAGAAGTCCATGCTAGACAACGACAAGAGAAAAATCGCCGAAAATTGGAGCTTAGACTTCAAAGGCGAAAAGAGGAAGCAGAAGATCCATCCAAAAAAGAGGTATGCCTTTCAACTCTATATACAAAGTTTCATTTTAATCTTAATTTGATTTTTAGGAACGCTTAGCAAAGAATGTTCCTAAAACGCTTGAAAATACACGAGAATTTGATGAGACAATAGTAGATGCTGAAGATACTGAAGTATTTGAAGACGAAGCGTCAGATGAATTTTCTTCATATTTCAAAGGAATATCACCAAAGATGCTTATTACTACTAGTAAAAGACCGTCAAAATTTACATATGAATTTGCCTCTGAATTAATTGATATATTTCCAAATAGTCAATTTGTTAAAAGGGGAAGTAAATTTTCTATCAAACAAATTATTGGATTTTGTACGAATAGAGACTATACAGATGTCCTAGTTGTTAACGAGGATAAGAAAGTTCCATGTAAGCATTCTATTATTTCAAATGAAACTTTTCTTTTTTAAAAGAAATACAACGTAATAATTTAACAATTTTTCGATTAGATGCTATTACTTTGATACATTTGCCAGATGGACCTACAGCATACTTTAAATTAACAAGTATAAAGCTTAATCACGAAATTCAAGTATGATAATCAATTCGTAAATACCGTCTTTGCATTAATATATTAACTTTAATTTATTATAGGGCCATGGAAGATCTTCATGTCATAAGCCTGAGCTTATTTTAAACAATTTTAATACGAGATTAGGTCATACAATTGGAAGGTGGCTTCAAGCATTATTCCCTCATGTACCGGAATTTCAAGGAAGACAGGTTGCCACTTTTCATAATCAAAGGGATTTCATATTTTTTAGGCGACATAGGTAATATTATTGAAATAAAACTATGATTTATAGAATATTTTTTTTTTTAAAAAAAAAAATGTATTTCATATTTAGATACGTATTTAAGAGTAAGGATAAAGCTGAGTTACAAGAAATTGGTCCGAGATTTACGTTAAAACTTAAATGGTTACAAAGAGGAGCCTTTGATAAAGATGGGGAATATGAATGGATGTTTAAGGTGTGCATTTATCATAATGGATTTTATTTGTTTATATTAATGTTTAATTGTTTTAATTATGGATTCTTTAAATAGCCGGATCTGGAAACGAGTAGACGACGATTTTTCTTATAATTGATAAATACTTTTTCAATTTTGGACAAAAAAAAATAATCGTACGTAAGTTTTTGAATATTACTATTGTTTTATCTTTTCTCAATTGGAATAGGGGATGATAATATTGTGAAAATAGAATTTTTTTGGTGCAAAATGCTAATATCACTGGTTATAGGTCTCACAGTAAAGGATGGGAATTCCCCGGTTTAAAAATTTAGCAAAATTCTTAAATAAATGTTCTGAAGTTTTATTTTAATAATTTAATAATTTTTGATTAAGAGGTTTTAACATAACCCATCAAAAAATAATCCTATCGCATAAATTTCATTATTTAACAATGAGACAAAACGAGAGCAACTCTACACGGAATATATACCTGTAATAAACAAACAATGTTAATTGCTAAGGTGTTGTAACATCAATAAGAGAATAAGCAATTAAGCCTTTACCTGAATATAATTCTTTCTTCCGTCCCATTCATGTGGTTGTGAATGATATGATATACTTTCATCAATCCTATCATGACCCCCAAATATCTTGCGATCAGTATTAAGGGCAATCGAATATTTTCCCGCCCATTCAGTTCCAATTTTATAATCAGCAAAAGATTGAGTTGGGTGAAAATTAAAAATCCAAAGTAAATTTCCTCTCTCAAAGGCTACTAATTTATTTTCATTATGTTTTAGAGAAATATATGCCTTTTCGAGAATGAAATTGTATAAGTAAGTAATCACCCATATCAAAAAAGGAAATAATAAACTTAATTTACCTGTGGCGAACTTAACCATCCATATTGTTCCTCTAAATGTTGCATTGCTTTATCAAACTCATTTAAATATTTATATCTTAACAAATCATCGTCTACTACATTCCATTGTCTTCTAGCATAATGGAACGAATTATTGTTTCCAGCTCTGGGAAAGTCCAACCATTCCGGATGTCCAAATTCATTTCCTTCAAAGTTTAGATAACCTTCACCGCCAAGGCCATGTGTAAGCAATCTAATAATTGAAGATTACTTTGTTTAAAAAGAAGAAAAAAAAAAGAAAAATATTAGGAGGATTTATTATCGGACCAATAATATATACCGAATCATTTTATGTAAGGCCAAACCACGATCAATGATTGGAGTAAGTGGAGTCATGTCCGACATATGCGTGTACATTTCCTTGTCCATTAACCAGAAGGCAAGTGTTTTGTCGCCTACAAGAGCTTGATCGTGAGATTCAGCGTAGGCAATAGTTTTTTCCTATGAACATTCCACGATACAAATAAATTCGTTAACAAACTTCAAAATTCTGCGTTATTAACTTCTTTAAATGCGTACCATATGTCTTCTGTTAGTCAATGTCCAACAAATATTACCCATGTCCCAATCATCATCACGTTGTTCTTTCAATAATTTAATCCACATATCGGGAATGGCCATGGCTAATCGGTAATCAAAGCCAATCCCTCCCTCTTCTACTGGTAGACAGAGACCAGGCATTCCAGATACGTCTGAGGAAAATTACGATTTAATATTTTTCTATCAATTATTAAATGGGAAAAAATTTTTCTAACCTTCTGAGACTGTAATTATACGGGGATAAAGCTTGTGAAGCATGTCATTTGCCTATTAAATTTAAGATATTGATTAAAAAATATAAACTTGCAAGAATGCAAATTTTTTTTTTTTTAAAAAAAAAGAAAGAAAATACAACTCACCAACATTAAATAAACGACTCCTCCTTCATCCACAGTATCGCCAAAATATTCGTGATAACCACCGGAAAATCCCGTCCCGATGCCATGATGATGATACATCATACTAGTGACTCCATCAAATCTAAATCCATCAAATCTATATTCTTCCATAAAGAAGCGAAGATTTGAAAGTAAAAATCGAAGTACCTCCCAATGACCATAATTGAACAATCGACTAGTAAATCAAATGAAGTATTGTTGAGAATTTAAAGATAGTAAGAATAGTTAGAAAAATAGCCAACGGGTTATTACCTATCCCAAAGGTCATGTCGGCCTTTTCCTCCTTCATGGAAGTAACAATGATCCGACCCGTCAAACATGTTCAACCCATCTAGCACGTTCTTGCATGCATGAGAATGAACAACGTCTAATAGCACATACAAACCCATGCCATGGGCAGTATCAATGAGTCGCATCAACTCTTCAGGCGTACCTGATATCAAAGGAGTCGTCAATATTTATGAAGGCGCTAAATGTCGATTATTAATATATGATTGTTTACCGTAACGACTGGATACACCAAAGAAACTTGTCACTTGATATCCGAAGGATGCATAATATGCATGTTCCATGATAGCCATCAATTGAATAGCATTATAACCCAGGTCTTTGATACGCTTCAACACGTTATCCGTGAATTCATTATAAGTTCCAACACGCCCTTCATTTGTAGAAATTCCCACTAAAACAAAAAGTGTGTTAAATTCCAAAAGTTTTACGAATGAGTGTAGCAGGTTAACTACGTACCATGGGCTTCATAAATTCTTAAACTTGTTGGTTTTTTTGGGGAGTTATTTTTCCATTGATATTTTTGAGGTGGGTTCCAAAAGATGGCATCATATGCAAGACTTACATTTAAATCTTGTGTAACTCGTTTTATCCAGGCTGGAAGACGATCGATACATTCGCCTTCTGGTGTAGTCATGGAGATCTATTTATAGAAAGATGATTATTTAACAAAATTTCATTGAGAATGATCGGATACAATATACTTACTTTTATTTTAGTATTGTGAGGAATAGTAGGAATACCATTTTTGGCAGGGATATGAACTTCCCAAACACCAAAAGAATCCTTCTTCATTGGATGTTTAGACCTATCCCAATCATCTGAAACAAAACTAAACTTACTATAGGATGTTGTTATGTACTTAAATTAAATATAGACTCACTAAATTCGCCAATCAAACTTGCAGCAACGGCATTAGGTGCCCATTCGCGGTATATAATATCGCCATTTGGTAGTACATTGAGACCAAAACGTTCGTATCCACGCGAAAATTTATCATAACCACCTTCATTTTGGTTGATTTCTTTTACCCATTTTTTATATGATTCAAGTCTATTTCAAATATTTTTTTTTTAAATTAAAATATAATTATAGTCAAGGAATTAAATGAATTTACACAAACCTGCGTTTAATTGCGGGAGCAAAAGGTTTTAACCAAGGATCAATTTTACAAATACCAGGCTCATAATTTTCTTGACTTATCATTTCTGTAGGGGACATTTTAGTTAATTGGAAAGTAAGAAAAAGAGTTTGTTCTTAATTAAAGCTTAACGTAACTATTTATATATAAAAAAAAATGGGATATAGATATACAAAAAAGTTAAAATGGATACAAATTAATGTACGTGGGCGTATATAAAAAGAATTGAAAAGAATGAAAGAAAAGGCGTTTTTAGATTTTCGAAGTTATTTTATAGTAAGCGTATCTTAACACTGAAAGCGTGGGATAACTATTAACTTTAATTTACTTTAATTGGAGATTTACATATTAGTTTATACTAAAATTAGGAATTGCACGAGTTAAACTTTATGTCATGAAATTCACGTTCAAATCATAGCCCATCATCATTTCATCATATTGGAAGATATAATGATATCTGATACTAAGATATCGGCGCAGTAAATCACGTTCAGATATATTTTTCCTGATTTTAATCTATTCAATCTATTCTTTAGGCATGGCTCGTTTAATTCTTCGTAAAAATATAACGAACATTTTTTATTCTTCTCTCTTCCATTCTAACTTTTTTCGATTTTATTCAACGTACCCGTCCTCTCCTTCCAAAATCAAAATCAAATCTAATTCGGATCAAATATATGATTTTCGGAGTGATACAGTAACTAAACCGACTGATGAAATGTTTGATATTATGCGTAATGCATCACGAGGGGATGATGTATATAATGTAAATGTCCACTCTTGGATAAAGTTCTTATAGAATTTAAGAAATTATAATAATAATAATAATAATTTTATTAGGAAGATGAATCTACTTATGAACTTGAAACTTATATAGCGGAATTAACAGGACATGAAACAGCTTTATTTGCACCATCTGGTACAATGGTAAAATCATTCAAAATTTATCATTATTTAAGTATAAACTGAAAATATTCTATTCCCACCATTTAAGACCAACCAAATAGCAATTCGAGCACATTTATCAACACCGCCACATTCGGTATTATGCGACTTTAGATCCCATATTTATAATTACGAAGCCGGAGGAATAGCATATCATTCTCGGGCTTCCGTTACACCGCTAATACCATCCAACAAATTATTCTTAACCTGTTCCGAAATTGAATCAGAATTAATTACAACAGATGATAATCATTACGCACCAACTCGTGTAATCTCTTTAGAAAATACATTACATGGTTTACTCTTTCCTCTTAACGAAATTCAAAAAATTTCTAAATTAGCTAAAAAAACGAACATAAAATTGCATTTAGATGGAGCAAGATTATGGAATGCATGTGCTGAAACTGGCTTATCTTTACAAAAGTTTACAGAAAATTTTGACTCAATAAGTATATGTTTATCAAAAGGTATTGGTGCACCAATTGGTTCAGTGCTAGTAGGTAATAAAGAATTTATTAAAACTGCCAAACATTTAAGAAAATTATTCGGGGGTGGTTGGAGACAATGTGGTTCATTAGCTGCCGCCGCTAAATATGCTATTATTTCCAATTTTCCAGATAATTTAAAAAAATCTCATTTGTTAACTAAAACATTATCTAATGAATTACTTAATCTAGGTATTCATGTTACTCTTCCTGTTCATACTAATATGATTTTTATTGATACTAAATCAATTAATATTACGACTAGAGAATTAGCTAATAGATTAGCTTCACACAACATTCTTATTTCTGGTAACAATTCTACTACTACTAGATTAGTTTTGCATTATCAAATTCCTCCTATTTCCATTGAAAAATTTATTGATGTAGTTGCTAATATTATAAAAGAGAAAATTTTTTTAAAAAAACTATAATGTACATAAATAATAATCAGTAAAAGAAAAAAAAATTGAAATGCTGTGTATATGAATTTGAATAATATAAAATAAGATGAAAAGTACGGTAAAGAAGTTATATTTATCGGATGTTTCTCTGAATATAAAGAACATCATTATAAATATGCTATTATTTAATACGTGATTTTTATATATTATATTCTTATGTAATCTTGTTTTTTAACAAAAATAAATGAAAACAAAAATTAACTAACAGAAACTTACCTTATATATTATATATATATATTTAAATTTAATAACATTATGAATCAATTTGAATTGTAACATGTGATATATCATATTTTTGTTTTAAAATCCGTCTGGCTTGTGATAAAATTGTTGCAGGAACCAATGGCTCTGCTGAAACATCTGGATCATATGGATTAAGTACCAAATGGCATGTAAGAGTTGTCTACAAAGAAAAAATTGTAGTTTAGTGATAAGCAATAAACTAAAGACTCTTCACAAGTAAATTCTTACTCGGCCAACTGTTAAATCCCAGACTGAACGTTTTATTAGAAAAAGGTTAAGATTAATAAATTGATTCCCATCAAACAAAAATTAGGACATAAAATTAGGGATAATTACTGTGCAATTCATGTATATTCTTTACTCCTTCAATTCCCTTTAAATCTTTTCTTACAGAATGTACGTCAATATGAGACGGAGTTGCTATGATTAGAGAAAAAGTTAAAACGTATATTTAATAAATAAAAAATTATATTTTTTTACGGTACAAACCTTCCATCAAAACTCTTATACCACTTCTCAATATACCAAATGTAGTGGCCATTACAAGAGCTGAGAAAAAAAATGTACATAATGGATCGACCCAAGTCTTACTATCATCCAACATAATAACTATAGATGATATTAAAACTCCCAAGGAAGACAAGAAATCTCCCAATACATGAAGCAAAGCTGCACGAACATTAACACTACTATTTCCATGATCACTCCCATGACTATGACTATGTCCACCATGACCATGACCATGATCATGATCATGTCCTAAAACAAGCATCAACCTATAATATAATATGATGTCAATATATTTTTTTGTTAAAATTTATATAATTATAAATGTTAATTACACAATATTTACTGCAACCCCTATTGAGGCTACGAAGCACATGGTTTTTCCATCTACATCTATTGGATGTTGTATACGGTCATAGGCTTCGTAACATAGATAGCCAGTAAGGCCCCAAATCAAGAAAATTGATACAAGAGCACCTAGAATTTCTGCCCGATGGTAACCATACGAAAGTGCTAATGTCATAAATTAGACCGAATTATTATAGGTCAGATATTAATTTGAAATCGAAAAAAAAATAAAATATGCTAGTTCCATTTGTTGATTATACAAACATTTCGTAGCTGGTCTTCGCGCAAGATATATAGATAAGAGTGAAATTGCGAAACTAACTACATCTGATTTGTTTAAAAGGAAAGAACTTAATTATGCAAATATTAAATTCAACAAAACTACAATAATTAGTTGATCTCTTACCGCTTAGCAAATGAAAAGAATCACTTAACAAAGCCAAGCTTCCAGCAATAAAACCGCCGATAAGTTCAATTACAAAAAATAAAAGAGAAATTACTATAGCAATCCATAATTTTGAAGCATATCTTTTAGAGGTTCTATCCATACGACATCCATCATCTTCGTCTTCTAAACCACACTTATCCTCTTCATCTTCACGAATATCGGGACCTTCAAACGAAGTATATAAAAGTGGGGTTGATGAATGAAGAGAAGTAATGCTCGGATTATCATGATAAGACTCGAAAGATGCGCCTCTTGGAATATTCATTTGTGGTTGAACGTCGACAGGTAGTGAAATATCTTGTGCCGATGTATCTAGTGAGGAAGGATAAGCAGGTGAGTCTGGTGGAATAGGGCGGACGGAGGTGTCGTCCGCAGAGTGTTCAATTGTATTAGCGTTCAAGTAGTCGTTGCTAGTTTCTACCATATTTACTATTTATATACCACTATTCTATTTACAATTGTTGGTAGAAATATGATACTAACAGACGTACTTTCTTTACTAAATCGAAAATCGATTTTAACAAATCTTGTTAATTCTTGTAGGAAAAATTGATTGGTAAAATAAGCGGAGACAGAAAATTATTAAAAATTTTTTTTTAAAAAAAGGAAGTTAATTAATGTACATTTATGCGGCAGCTTTGGTAAGACAAATTAGTAGGAAAGATTCATTCGTTATCACAAGGTAACACAAAATTATTAAATTGTCAGGATAGATTTATATTGCTATTAGAGAGGGTGAATTTAGGCTTACAAAATAAATTGCGATACAATTAGAGAGCAAATTTCCGGAGTATAGCTTTAATGACAAAAAAAAAAAAGAACCGGAAGCAGTCATAATTAAGACAGTATTTAAATTTTATTATATAATGGCATTGATTACATTAATTATAAAGAACCATATTAAACAATGAATCTTTTAATTGACTGGTATTACATGACTAATTAATTCGCGAATAAATAATAAATCATCTACGCGAAAACTCATTACATGTATTATATGTAGAATAGAAAACTCATTTTGTTCTTTAAAATGGCAACCAGATCATACACGGTAGTGAATATTATATATTATAAAAAAAGTTCGTTTCACTTGATTATATCAAGTCCATAAGACTGAACAATGCACTGACGCTCTCACCGTTATGTATTCTTCTAATTGCTTCTGCAAACATTGGAGCAATACTAAAAACTCCCATCTTAGAACATTGCGCTAAATGATCAACTTGTGGAACACTATCGCTTACGATGACTTGATCAATCTCACTTGTTACAATTCTTTGAATAGCATCACCACTCATAATTCCATGAGTGATAATGGCACAAATCTTTTTTGCTCCGCTTTCACTAAGAATCTTTGCGGCTTTGGTTATTGTATCAGATGTATCTGCAATATCGTCAATTAGAACACACACTTTGTCTCTAACCTCACCAACAAGCATCATATCAGTTTTATGAGGCTTAATTTGAGAACGACGTTCTTTATGAATCAAAGCAAAATCCATATGAAGTTTGTCTGCAATTGCTGTTGCTCTAAATAATAACAAATACATTTTTAAGAAATAAATCAATCGTTAAAACACCAATAAGCAAATCCTACCTTTTAGCACCACCAGCATCCGGAGAAACAATTACTGCATTCTGATAATTTGGAATGTTTTCCTTAATATATTTAATCATCAAAGGTTGTCCGTAAAGATTGTCAACCGGTATATCGAAAAACCCTTGAAATTGAGGATCATGAAGGTCCATAGTTATTATATGGTCGGCTCCTAAAGTAAATGAGCCGTATGTATATTAATATTTTATATTTTATTCTTTATAAAGAACAACATTATTTACATTATCATGTAACAACCTGCACACGTTATAAGATTGGCTATAAGTGTTCCAGATCGAGCAATCCAATGTTTATATCCGCCCGCGCTACGAGTAGATATTTCGGACGAACTAGTACCATTAGCGCTTTGCTCTCCAAATGGATTTTTCACTTCGTTTGCAGGAGTTGAATCTGGTGTATTATAGGTATAACCAATAAAAGCATCCTTTGGAATGCGTGGCAAAAGTTCACCATTTTTCTTGTAAGGAGCATCGGGTTGTCGCGCGTATGGAAAACAAGGTATCACAGCAGTAACCTTTGCCGCTGATGCAATTTTACAAGCCGATATCATAATCAATAGTTCCATTAGATTGTCATTGACGTGGCCACAGCCAGATTGAATTATATAAACGTCCTTTTCTCTAACACTCTCATGGATCTCAACATTTGTTTCTTTATTTGAAAATTTTGAAAGTTTTACACGTCCAAGTTGCACATTTAAACGAGAAGCTATTTGTTCAGCTAATTCAGTATGCGACGAGCCTCCAAAAATAACGATATTGCGCATTATTAAATAGATCCGCGTCAGAAAAAAACTTCACTTTCGCATTTAAGATTACGTAATTAAAAAGAGATGAAATAGATGAATAACTGCGCCACAGTAATCTTAATCTCTCGCGTTATTCAACATTTGTATATTATATATTATATAATAACTATAACTTTTTTAATAAATGTCTTCTGGTCCACTTGTACAATTCGTAGCTTACTCCTCAGCTGTTGAAGCCATATTCTGGCACACTTTATCAACGCGAAAAATTGATTTGTATAAATTAGATGATACTTCACATGATATTTTGGGACATTACTTTACTGGTCATACTATAACTTCACAACATGCCACTGAAGCAAATATTTCCATGCCAGCTCGTTTGTGCCTTGGAATTGATGCTTTCGATGACACCAATTCCGCTTCTTTCTCACGGTAAGAACTAAAATCTGCGAACTTATCGAAATTCATATGTTAATTCGCGTAATATATATATATTCAATTTACAGCTTACCACCTTTCGCCTATCCTTCAATTGGAAAAATAAAAAATACTAATACAATTGAAGATTTTAAAGCTCTTGACAAAGCTGCTTTATTTAAAGAGATCACAGAACAAGTAAATTCAAATAAATTCGAACTTATACTTTAACGGTTTTTTTAAAATTCTGAAATAAAATCATCATCTCAACTTTGTTCTGTCCAATATTTAGATTTGGCAGGATATTAAATCTGGAGAAGCGGTAAAAAATCCGTATCTCCTTACCCGATTCCTTCTTGTGACCTTTGCAGATTTGAAAAAATATAAATATCATTACTGGTTTGGTTTTCCTGCATTAATAACCGAACCACCATGGCATGTTTCCGAAAATGGCGAAATAAAAAGCATTAGGGATTTATGGATATCTAGCGATGTTAGTCTTATCATTATTTAAGAATATCATATATATTAACAACATAAATTAACATGTTCAAAACTTGATCAGATTGAAAGCTTCAGAGAAAATTATGATCTTTTTAGACAAAAACAGTCTTGTGCAAATGCTGGATTTTTCCTCGTCAAACGATCCAATAGTAAAGAAATGATAATCGGTAGCCTATCTGAATTTGACACATTCTTTGAAGGCTGTGGTAGTGATGAGGTGAATTTAGGACTCGATTCAATGTTTTTTTTTCAATTGAGAAACTAATTAACTTTTATAGTATATAATGTTAGAGAATTGTTGGATTTGCTGATCCTTCAAGCTTGCCTACAAATCCCGGATGGCCATTGCGTAATCTTTTAGTACTTTTGCAACGTCGTTGGAATATACATAAGATTAAAATATTATGTTACAGAGAGGTTCCAGGCAAAAAGGATGTATCACAAACTTGTATATTGACAGTTGAAATACCTGAAACTGACACAATCTCTGGTACTGTATTGGATTTTTGGAAATTTATTTATATTATCTTTATAATAGCACTGTTGATGCTAAATAATTTTCATTAATCATAAGATGAGTGTCCAAAAGGTTTAGGATGGGAAAAAAATTCTCAAGGTAAACTTGCTCCTCGTTCTGTTGACCTAGCACATCTTATGGATCCAGTAAGGTAAGGAAACGCGTATAAGTCTCTATTACATCGAATTGAGATTTTAACATTCTATATATAAGGTTGGCCGACACGTCAGTTGACCTAAACTTAAAATTAATGCGATGGAGGATTGTACCAAATCTACAACTGGAAAAAATTAGAGAAACAAAATGTTTATTACTCGGTGCCGGAACTTTGGGTTGTTATGTGGCAAGATGTCTTTTGGTAGGTTGATTATTTGATTATTTATATTTTAAAATTATAAAATATGTTAATTTACGTGGCTTCTTATCTTATATAGGGATGGGGTGTTCGTCATATAACATTCGTTGATAATGCACGTATCTCATTTTCCAACCCTGTTCGACAACCATTATTCTTCTTTGAAGATAGTCTCGAGGGAGGCAAGTTTAAAGCACAGACCGCTGCTGAAAATTTAAAAAAAATTTATCCTGGCTCAGTATGTATAAATTTGTGTTTCCCTAAACATTTTTTTTAAACCTATATTGAGTCAATATTGAAATTTAGATAACTGAAGGGCATCATATAAATATTCCTATGCCAGGACATCCAGTTATTTCAGAATCACAAGTTCGTAGTGATATTGAAAAGATAACACAACTAATTGATTCACACGATGTTATTTTTCTATTAATGGATAGCAGGGAAAGTCGATGGTTACCTACTTTGTTGGGGGCAAGCATGCGAAAGGTTTTTAAAATAATTCAATTCTACTTGATTTTAATAAAATAATATAATATTTACTAGTATATTTTATTTATTAGCTTGTCATAAATGCAGCATTGGGTTTTGATACTTACGTAGTAATGAGGCATGGCGTCAAAGATCTTGATTTCACTTCGAAATCAACAGGAGTTTCTAGCAGCAAAATGCCAGAAATTAAGCAACTGGGATGCTATTTTTGTAACGATATTGTGGCACCGACTGATTCTCTTAAGGATCGTACACTTGACCAGCAATGCACGGTGACGCGGCCGGGATTATCTGCAATTGCTAGTGCATATGCCGTTGAACTAATGGTTTCTGTTTTACATCATGAAAAAGGGTAAATTCTATTCGTATAATTTAATCTTTTTATGACTGGTTTACAAAAAAAAATTTTTTTTTCATTCTATTAATTAATAGACCAGCGGCACCAGCAGATACTATTAATGATCTTTCTGGTTCAACAGATACTAGCACCTCAACTCCTTTAGGTATTATACCACATCAAATACGTGGATTTTTAACCAATTTTAATAATATGTTAATAGTTGGGCAAGCCTACGATAAGTGTACAGCTTGTTCTGATAAAATATCAGAAGAATATAAAACAAATGGATTTGAATTTCTTAAACGTGTTTTTGATTCACCCACATATCTTGAAGAATTAACAGGATTAGCTAAATTACATCAAGAAAGTGAAGCTGCTGGTGATTTTGTTTGGGATGAAGAAGATAATGAATTGTGAAGATTATTTGATCATAAAGAGATTATTGACGTTTTCAAAATGTCTTGGCTTTTCATATTAACTATAATTATTTTTTTTTAATATTAATGTATTTTCATATCTTTGCCACATTGCGAATAAACCCTTTTGGCTACGTTATTTTTTATGTCGCGTATTCGTTTAGCTTTTAATAATAATGAATGCTAAAAATAACAGAATTTAACCAACTTTTAAAATATATATTACAAATCAGAATAAGATGCAAAAAATCGTCTCGTAAATCCGTGATTTAATTTTTCAAAAAAATTTCTTTTTTAATTAATGAAAACAAACATCACTAAAAATACAAACTTTTTTGTATGAATCAAAATTAAATATATTCAATATTCATGCATATTTTTTTTGACCTTCGACAGAATTGCAAAAAAATAATTGACTCTCCGTATAAATTGTTTTTTATGATAATTAAATAAACAATAATTTCATTGATATTTTCCTCTATACTCTTCAAATAATTTATTTCTAATCGTCGAGTCCCTTGAAATAAGTTGAAATCGGAAACCATTCTTTACACTTATTCTTAAATTCTTCGGCTTTTGATGAATCTAACTTGTTTTTAAGTTGTTCGTATACTGATATGCAATTCTTCATAAAATTAAATAAATTGTAAATAGTCGAATCGAAAAAGAGAAATACATACATATTACTTGAATAATTACCTTTAGTGTTCTCGTACTCAAAAATTCATCCTTAATAGAGTTCATCAATAAATTTGTGACTTCTTGTTTATTATCAGGATTTATTTGCAATAATGCATTAGAGCCAGCTAATAAATGTGACATGGACCCTTTATTCCTTGCTAAAAATTCCTCAGTATATACTTCTAAGGAAGTATTATCGGGAAGTATGGTTGGTAATACTGTATTAACAACTTTAAAAATTGTTTGATATTCAGTAGAATCACGTAACGGTTCTCTTTTTTCGTTTTCTTCTTTCTCAAGCCTAGAAACTAAAATAAGATAATCTGTTGAAATATTTTTCATAAATTATAATAAACATAATATTATTAGAATAGTTACCATACCTTCAAACTTGAATCGTATTATATTTACATGTAATTCTGGATTTTCTTTATCAATATTATATGCTCGTTTTAGAGCCCTAAGAGCGAGTAAATACTTTTCTGAAATATAATGACGATTATTAGTAACTAAGCATAATAATATTTATCTGAAATCAGAAAACAAACTTTTTTGAATGTAATATTCAAATCCTAATAAATGTGTTTCTATTCTTTTCGAAGCCAATATTTGCAAAGGTTGAAGGAACTTGAATGCTTCCCCTAAAGGATCTTCTACCTGTAAATCATTCTAGAAGTTAATTAAATTATTAATAATGTTTATTATATAATAATCAAACATAATTGAACCTTCAGAAATTTTTCGCCTTCCGGGTCATCATCTTGTACTTTCTTTTTCGATTGATCCTCTTTTGCCGGAGAAGCTTTATGAAAAAAAAATTTTATTTCAAAATATATATATATATATATATATAACTCACTTAATAAATTAACTCTTACCTTTTTTTGCCTCCTTAAGCGCAGCTTTTTTGGCTTTACTTTTGGCTTTCTTGGCAGCCTTAATCTCTTCTTCTGTCATATTTTCTTTTGAAATTATTTTGTTCGAATTTTATTCAATTAGAAATTTTCCATTATATTAAAAATTCGCAAATGAAACGTACCATAATTTTGACTTTCTTCACCATTGGCTGATTTTGGATTGTCTTTTAGATAAAGATAGATCTGGATTTTTCCATATATGATGATTCATAATAAGAACAAAGGAGACAACATATGAGAATATTACTTATACTTACCTCTATGGCATTTTTCGCGGCACGGAAATAATAGGGGTGTGAACGTAGCTGATCTTCAAGTCGTAACATGCTTTTACATCATAGCAATAATAAATAAGTGTAAAAATTTCACGAGAATATAAGAATGAATCGCGACATACCTCAAGTATGCTCTAAGAGTAACTTTGCGTAGACAATATGTATGAAAATCGAATTGATCATCCGTTATATCTGCAAAATGCTTAAATATGATTGACAATAAACCATATTAAAAATGCATTATTTATATTAATAATTTAAAGTATTTAAAATTTATGTATGTAGAAAATTACTAACTTAAATGTTGAATTATACCTTGTCGATTTGATGAAAACGTTTAAGAGCTTTGCCTAAATTATTCTGCCTCCTATAACACTCCCCTTCCTCGAGTGCATACCACATACACTGCATGTCTATAAGATCCGTTAATGGATCAGGAGCGTCGCCCTTTTTTTTTTTAAAAAAAAATATATATATAAATAATCTAAATAATATATAAAAAACCATATAAAAAACATTCAATCAATTATACACACTCTAGTAAATAATCCAATTGTTTTTAGAGCTTCTTCTGGTTGATTATTCCGAAGCATATACTTTGTGCATTTCGAATTGATGAACCTATCTTGAAGATCCAACTCTCGGGCTTCGTCCATAACTTTCATGGCATTATTAAGGTCTCCCCCATGCTATATACGTCAAAGATGCAAATAATTGGTAATTGGTAAGATTGGGTTTCAATTTATGATGCCACCTAAAATATCTATTTAAAGTTCGGACCTTGAGTATACGGCCCTTTGTCATATATAATTCTACTAAAGTTGGTGTGTGTTCGATTGCTTCATCGATCAACTTGAGAGCCCTTGTAGTATCACGTTTGTTATCGTAATGTTGAGCCAACAAATAGAGAGTCCAGAGATACGCTGTAGGTTCTTCAATTTCGTCACCAGCATCCGAACTTTTGGTGAAAGTGTTACACGTCTTTAGATTTTGGAGATATTCTTCAACCAATTTCTCAATTGTATCCTCCTTTATCGGATCAGCATAAAGTTTTTTAAGATTAACAAATAATGAAGGGACACCTTTTCTAAGAGCTGCTTGCATATATTTATCTACTTCTACTTTAAATCTTTCATCTACAACCATATAATAAAATATAAGAATATTACAAACAAGACAATCCATGCAAACCACATTCAAGTAACTGACCAGCTGTATGTTCTATAGGAAGTAGCTTTAAAAGATTTGACTTTGGATATTTTGTTGCCATTTCTTGACAAATTTCAATAACTTTTTCGCGTTGTTCAGAGGACAACTCATCTAACAGGATTCAATTCTCATTATTAAATGAACTTATTATAGTGAGTTAACACGTTAAATTAATTGATATATACTAATGAAATACTTACTGGTATTTATTTGGGAAGCTAATAACAAGCCATTATAATAATCATAACAATCGGGATTGTCAGCAATCAAGTCTTCATAAGCTATCTTTGCTTCCTGATATCTTTCAAGTTTCAGCAGAAAGAAGGCTAGTCGAAAAAGACGAATATATGATTATTTTAGCATAATATAACTATGATATAGTCTATAATTGATATTCAAACCTCTCTTTTCTTTCCATGAGCGACGATCACAAATATCATTTTCAATGGATTCTAAGTGCTCCAAAGCTTTATCAAACTTGCCACTTTCTTCTATTATAAGATTATGATATAGCAGCATCTCGCTGTGTTCAAAATTCATAGGACCTGGTTTTTCCTACGAAGGATGCCATCATCATTAAATGTAATTAAACGCAAATAGCTTAATGAGATTTTATATTCACCTTTAAAGTATCCACGTAAGCTTTCAATACTTTTTCGGCTATTTCATAATTTTCTAGCAGATGATAAGATATAGCAAGTCCAATCCAATATCTTTGATTATTATGTCTTAAATTCAAAAGACGAAGTCTTGATTCCTTTTAATTAAGTAATATTCCCATCGAACAATAATTTAATATTAATAATTGTTAAAATAAACATAATGATTCTACATCTTACATTAAAAGCCTCATAATTTCGCATTTGAATTTGGAGCAAGGAATAATCTTGAAGGATTTGCATATTATCCTATCACCAAAAAAATTTTAAATAAATGATTTTCAAGTGAATGCGAAAATAATATTTAAATCATTCATACCTTATCAAATTTTAATGCTTGATTATAGCACTTTAAAGCTTCACCGTAGTTTTTATCGGATCGATGTAACAATCCATATACGTGCCAACCTGTCCGATTATAAAAAGTTTGAATGATGGAAAATTGTTTCTAAACAAGTAATCATCAAAAATATAATTACAAATATGGCTCTTCAGATCAAACCTAAGCCCTTTGCGTACGAAATCATGAGCTTCTTCCTTCCTATCCATATGGTTAAGAAACAATCCTTTCATAGCCAATGTCTCTGCATCAATAATTAAATGATGATAATCGCATTATCAAAATTACAATAGATAAACATCAATTAAATGAATTCATTTTCAAAATAATTTCTTTATTATGCAAATAAAACAAAATTTAACATATATCAACAGATATAAAAAAAAAGAAATAATATCATATATGTACCCCCATGTTCAGGAAATTTTTTCAATATTTGATCAGCAGCTTTCAACCCTTTCTTATACTGTTTATACTCATAGAATTTCTAATATAAAATTTATAACTTTTCGGTCAGTCATGCTAAATATACATATATAATAATATACCAGAAGTAGCCATCACTATATAAGATACTTGCAAGAATTTGCTTAAAAAGAGCAGATTCTTTGGACGGTAATTCCCTCATTTCTTTAAGCTAAATAAAAGCTTTGAAGATTGCACTCGATATAAAATGTGCTACAAAACTGATCTCTCGAATGTTAAAAAAAAAAATTTTTTTTTAACCCTTGCGAAAAAAAAGTAAATTTTACTTTTTAGTTATTTGTGTGATGGAAAATAAAATCTTGATCAAAAAAAATAATCACTGTTATCATGTGAATCATAATTTACAATGACTTGTGTTACGTGATAAAAGATAGATATTAAGATCGAATCGCAATATTAACTTTCAATAATTTTTTGTTTCGTCAACTAAAAAGATGGCTCATACTAAATTGGATTTTGATGAAAATTCTTCTAAAACACCTTCTTCATTAATTATAAAGGATATTGTACGTAATGAACAAGAAGAACTTGCGGAAGAAGTATTTTTAGAAGAACTTTCATCACAATTAGCAGAAAATCCAAAAGCAATGGCTGCAATAACAGAAGAATACATGAAAACCACTAAATCAGATGGACAAGATTTTGAGAGTATTCAACTGCTCCCTAATCCTGGATTTGTAATAAAAATTCGTATAGCATCCTCAAATAAAAAACTATATAAATTAAATTCAAAATTTTTCATCAATTTTTGTTATTCAAATAAAGTACCATGTCCACCAAATGCTACTGAAACTGAAATAAAAAAATCAATGAATGGCGATGAGGATTCAATTTATCGTGTTCCGACCGTTATTAGTAATATTCGAGAAGATAAAGACAATAGTATGTTTTTGATTATTTTGTATTTTTTTTCTTTAGTAATATAACTGATTTGAAATATTGAAATGTTAGAGGAGGATCTTTGTTATGTTTGTGATGCTATTATTCATACATTACCATTTAAAAGAACAAGAGAAGATTCCGATTTTAAATTATATATAATCGAACTGGCGGTGGAAATGATTGAAGAACAATTTAATCTAGAATTAACTCGCAGTACGTCACTATTCTGTTCTTGTGATTTTCAATAAGAACATGAATCTGGAAGAATTAATTTATGTATGTTATTCAGACTTTGCATATCCGAAAATAAGTTACAAAGGCAAAATAGAAGAGAAACCAGTTATGATTCCTAAACAACAGAAATCTTTAATAACGGAGATTTCCACGAAACCGAGCCAACGAAAAATAATTGATGAAAAATCAACCAAAAATGTCAGAACTCTGGATAAACCTAAATATACCATCACAGAAGAATTTAGAGATAAAAGGTTATTCCTGATTATAACTATTGATACGCCTTCTATGGTAAATTAACTAAATTTAATATGTAATAAATTACCTCTTTTTCTTTTTTTTTTTTAAAAAAAAAATTATTTTTATTTATTTATATAGCAATCAGTAAAGGATAGCACATTAGACTTAGAACCTTTGCGTCTAATTTTTAATTCGCCCAGGAAATATAATTTGGATATCACGTTACCTTCAAAAGTGAATATCATATCTGCGAAAGCAAGATTTATAAAACCTAAGAAAAGATTGGTTATTAGAGCAGAGAAAGATTGATTAATCCAATGTAAAGTAAGCGTAACAATTACTTTTTTTTTATTAATATCATTTCAGAATGTAATTTTATTAAAGACCATAATCTATTTATGAAAAGAATGCATATTTAAATGTTTATACAACCAGCATATTATACAAAATGAATATATTTTAATATTCCACCTCTTTTAAAAAAAAAAAAATTAACATAATAATAATATTAATAATAATAAATTCGTAATAAATACAATATCATTCCACTAACTACCCCATAGTAAATTCCATAATTAAAGTACATAATTATTTTTGTCAAAATCCTCCAAATAAATCAATACGTTTTCGTTGTTGTATACAAAAACTAAGAAAATTTATTTCTAATGTCTTTTTGGTTCCATCTTTCCCTTACCCAATAAATAATTTTTATGCCATATTATAAATTTATGTATTCCATACACTCTTTTCTTTTACCCTATTAGATGAAAATAAAATTTGAATAAAAATTTCATAATTTGCATGTGAATTTTTTTTCCTTTGGGCCATTTTTTTTGGCCGTATAATAATTAATTAAAAAAAAATACTTCAATATTACGGAATTTTCATTTTTCTTTGATATTAGTTTGCTTTTTTCCATACAAAATTTGGAGGAAAACTATATCAAATACAGAGATTAAAAATTTATATATATAATTTAAATTATTTTCTTCACTTTTTTTTCGAATGCTGACTGCAAAAAAAAATATCTAATAAAAAAAAGACAAAATTAAACAGATTTTTTTATAATTTTTTTTTTTTTTTTTAAAAAAAAAAAAAAAAAGATACCAAAAATTATAATAGTTTTAATAATTATTTTCGAAAGTATTCAATAGCCTATCACAGTATTATGCAATGACATTTTGGTGCTTCGTCTTTAGATTTAGGACCTAAAATATTTGTGAAATTTAAGTTAATTGAAAAAATTAAACCGGAACAATATTAATTAACTAACCATCATTGTCATGTTGCGACACATTTTTTATAGTCAAATGTACAATAGTGGTCTGTCCACGTAGAATCTTGTTTGCTAAATGAAACAAATTTAAATTACATACTAGTTATAAAGTATAAAAATGCAAAAAAAACATAAAATTAAACCTGCTTACTTTCAAGCGTGGTTCCATCCTCCAAGAATCGACCTTGGTACACGATCTTCAAACTTGACACCGCCACAGGGGTTTCATCGGCCCATTCTATAAGTAACAAATTTTTTTTTTTATTATAACTAAGTTAAATAAACCCATTCCAGAACTGAATATTTATATATAAAATTTGATTGAGCAAAATTCGAGTCGACTGATTGTCACAATTTAATATACTTTTTCAATTCAAATCCAAAAAAAAATAATATTGTAAGAGACTAATAACTTTTCCTGCATCACTAAAATGAGCAATTGACCAAAAATAAATAAATAAATAAATCTACCCAGTTATTACCTTTGGGCCAATTATTAAAAACTCGACTTTTAACCACTGTTATTGTATCGGTGGGATCAAAAGCAAATGTATGTCTTTTGCCAGAAACTAAAAGTAGGGTCAAATTGACCTTGTCTTCTAAATCTTTAGACTCTGCATCTTGTTGTGAAGCTTGTGAAGATGATGCGGAGGACGATGTTGTTGAATCGCCTCCCGATTGCGATTTTCTGTTTTCCGATTGTGTCGGCGTTTTTACAACAGTTGACTGTTTTGAATCACCATTATTATCAGCAGCCAAAGTTTTAGTTACTGAAGGTTGTGAAGTATCATCGTTACTACTACTGTGAGTAGGAGAATATTGAGGTTCAGCGCTCATTGTGTTTTGTTACTTGAGAATGGAAGAAATGGAAAGATGTAAACGAGTGTGAAAGATGAACTGTTCAGATCTAAAGTAAATGACAAAAACACATGATAATAATTAGATATAAATTAAAAATGGTATTCACGATATTATAAAAATATCCTACAATAAATAAAAGGTTAAGCGAGATTGTCTCCTGTAAATTATTAGCCGAGCGGCAACGGAAAAGAGTTTTTGTAGTTTTACAAGGAGAAAATAAGAAGGTAAATGAAATTATAAATGTGATAATCATGTGTCCCAGTAGAAATTCCGATAAACTGCGGGTAACTTTGTTTCACATTTTTAAATTCCTACCTTACACTAAAATTACAGCCGTGCAATCGTGGGCTGAAAGTAAAACGGACTATATGAGCCGAAATAGATTTCATTTTATAACTTTAAACTAAATATAATTAGTTTACAAGATAAGGACAAAAATCTTTTAATATAGAAAATTATATATATAATAATATCAGTAACTTAAGTAACATTATTTTCTTTCTTCACTAATATACAAATTGTATTTCAAATAATATTTTGCTTTTTCTATATAAGATATATTACCGGTGATGTTTAGCAATACCCTGATATTTATTTTAAAATAAATTTGAATTGCAATTATAATTAAAAACTAATTCTAAAATTAAATATTTTTTTAATGTTATCAATTTAGCAACTAAATATATATAATTTAAATATTAATTTAAAACCTTAAATTTCAATATTAATAAGAATTATTGTTTAAGTTCATGAATTATTTATCATATCATTATTATAAATTTTAAAAAAGAAATAAAAATAAAAAGTATTAAATTAAGCAAATATAGATTTTATTTAATGTTATTAATTAATAGGGTTATTAATAGGGTATTGCTAAACATCACCGGTAGTGATGATCACCGATGGTGAAATTATGATGTAATGCCGGCCAGTATTTTATTAGGTTTTAATTCTGGTCGAATATACATCATAATGCTGGTACGGTGACCATTACCGCCGGTGAGCTTTAGCAATTTACTAAATAGGGTTTTATTATTATTCCAAAATTTTGAATATTATTTATAAAACAGAAGGTTCAAATTAAATATTTTTTTAATTAAACAATTAAGATAATCAATTAATAAATATAACGTAATTTACTTTTTTATAAATTTTTTTAAAAAAATTAAATAAACAGGGTAAAAAATATGAATTATAATAATATCGGCTGATTTTCGCTAAATATAATCAATAAAACCTTATTTGTAATGCATTAATGAACTTACTTTTATACATCTATTCCTTTTGTAAAATCCCCTTAAATATTCCAAAGTTTCATTTACCATATTTTTTAAATGCAAGATTTTGGAGTTATACTTTGACATCCTTTATAGGTCATTACATAATGGCGTTAGATTATGGCGGTAAAAATCACACATTAGATAATGACAACATTATTTATGCAGAAGAATAGTATTGGCCTATAATAGTCAAATTTGTGACGGACAATATTTTTATATTGTCAAATATATATATGATCCGTATTCTACATGCTTGTTTTTACTTTCCCTAAACTCTTATTGAAAATTTAGATTCTTTGCTTTCGTAAATTAATTTAAACTTTATTAGAAAAATGTCTCTTATCTATGGGTTAGTAGCTCGAGGCTCAGTCATTCTGGCTGAACACACTGATTCTTCTGGCAATTTCACTCAAGGTAAATAATATTTCAAGGTTTTTCGTTTGCTTTTCAAATAGTTCGTTAAACTCCGATTAATCAATTTTCTTTCATTTTTACAGTCACTCAGGCAATTCTTGAAAAAATTCCACCAAATAATTCAAAATTAACTTACGTTTATGACAGGTATAATAATTTGAAATCTTTTATAGAAGGGTTTTGTTATACTATTAAATTTAATTATATTTAATGTGTATGTATGTGTATGTATTTTGACTATAAAAAAGATATCTTTTCCATTATATTTGTGAGGATGGTCTCACTTATTTGTGTATGGCTGATGATTCTTTTGGACGACGAATTCCTTTTGCTTTTTTGCAAGATATAAAGGAAAAGTTTTTAGCTAATTATTCAAAAGACAGAGCAAACACAGCTCTGCCTTACGGTATGAACGAATTTTCAAAAGTCATTGAAAAACAAATGGTATGTATTATGAATTTAATAGGAAAATCATTCGTAATTATAATTTAAATTTTAACTTTTTTTGAAATTCTCGATATAGAAATATTTCTCGAATAATCCAGATGTTGACAAAATTAAGCAAGTGCATGGAGAGGTTGAACAAGTTAAGGATGTTATGGTTACTAATATTGGTAATTACTCGCTATCTTTTTTATAAATGTAATTTAATATTTCAATTTTTTTTCTAACGATTTTATCATAGAACGTGTTTTGGCACGTGGTGAAAGAATTGAACTTTTGGTCAACAAGACTGATAATCTAAATCAACAAGCATTTGCCTTTAGAAAGAGAAGTACTGCATTGAGGGTTTGTAACCATATTTTCTTCTTTTGGATATTCTATATGTAAAATATCACTAATAATTTATTTGCTTATAGCGGTCAATGTGGTGGAAGAACACAAAATTAATGATCCTTTTAGGATTCGTCATCATTGTAAGTATAAAATTAAAACTTTTTATTTAAGATAAATATATTTTACTGATAGGAAAAACAATTTTTTTATTAGTTGATTATCTACTTTATCATCAGTACTGCTTGTGGGTTTCCTAGTAAGTTTCTTTTTTAAAATGCTAAATTTATTTTACAATATACATTAACACAAAATTCTTTTTCTTTCTTTTATTTCATAAGCTTGGGCTGCTTGTCGAGGTGGTAATTAATTTAAGGTTATATAGATTATATTATTTTTGTCAATCCTTAATAAGAAATAATTTTTTTATGATTTTTAACAAAGGTAAGTAAGATCAATTTTATATATTTTATAATTTTAGTTTTAATCTTTGGTGAAAATGTACAATAGGTAAATGGTAAAAAAAAGAAAAAAATATAAATTTGATAAGATTTTTACTTGAAAATCGAATTTACATTTGATAAGATAATAATGTCACAATCTCCGATTAGATCGAAGATTGGTTATCTAATCAGATTGCGATAATCATGTGCTACTTGAATACTTCCTAACCCGCAACCAATGTTCATATTCCAACCGTACTATAACTAATCCCACTCATTAAAAAGATGTTTTGAAGAAAACAACTGCTGCAGTATTGTAATCATTCCTGAGAACCTCGCTTCATTTGAACTAAACCATCAGCAAATTGAGCTTGATACCGATATGCAGCTGTAATGATTGAAGATTTAACAATATCCAAAGGTTCAATAATCTTAGCTAATATACTAGCATGAATTAAACGGAAATCAATAAAATTTAAGATAGAATTCAAAATTGATTTAATTTTATCTCTATGTTGTTCTAATAAGTTACTACTATTTGGATCAACTGGATCCAATTCTTTTATACCAGAGCCTTTTTGTCCTTCCAAACCGGCAATATTCGGTAAAAGTAATGAAAAATAGATAACATCATTCGTCTCAATTTGATCTACAGCCCATAATACACAATATCTGAATACATCATATTCTGTAGTGACAAAATTTCCTTCCTTCAGATTTAAAGTGCGGGAAAGAAGGAATTCCAACGCTTTTGAAGATAAATTGTGATAATCAATATTATATAAAGATTTTGACATTAAAAATTTACAAATTTCATCAATAAGTTGGTCATCATCATCATTAATATCATTAATCGAATTATCCGAGATTTTTGATAAAATTTTTGCTATTTGATTACTACTACCAACATTATGACAATGCTCCATATAGGATTTCATGAACTGAACAATTATTTCTTTTAAATTTGGAAGTAAGAAGGCCGTAGCCCCATAATATGCATCTGGTACTATATCGATTGTTAACGTTTCATCAGATACATTTCCAGTATAAAAATATTCTAATACTACTTTAAAAATCGATGACGTTACTTCTTTAATAATGATTTTGTTTGATTTTGTTTGCTCTTGTGTGGATAATAATAAATTATGAAAATAATTTGAACGACCGGCTAAAAATAATTTATTAGCATGTAATTCTTCATCATCATTACACCTAATAATAAGATCACTGTAAAGTGGATTATCTATCATGTCTGTTAAATCCACAATTAATGAATCTCCTCGTGTATATGGTTTAGGTGGAGAGTTAGTGGTTGTTTTGTAGTCTTCGCATTCTTCGTCGGTAGTATCATTGGTTTTTGTTGATACTTCTTGAGGAGTTTCTGTTACTCGGGGTCTTTTGTTGCGCAAATTTTTTCTGGCGTCATCCATTATTCTCACGGAATATTGACAGTTTAATATTTGCCGCGCGTGAATTTAAAATCAAACTATCAATTATCGGCCAATTAGATTTGCGCTATACTATTTTTGTATTTGTGAAATAATGGCCGGAAAAATTACGTGTTCAAGATACATAATAGTACCGTTTTTAGAATATTTGCTTGGCATTATCGGCATTATAAAATGACTATAAAGTCTCACCTGTTTTTAAAATTCTTTACTTTTTGAAAAATATATCAAAAATGGAGGAGAGCATTGAACCACTACTTATCGAACAAACTTCATCAAAACAGCAACATAGTTATTATTCAATTGTTACAATATTTATATTGTCAATGTTGTACTTTTATATTGCTATTAAAGAATATCCAAAATGGAGGAAATTGCGAGAAAATTTCTTCACAAAATCCAAAAATAATTTAAAATTTGATCCCAAACCCGAAACAACGGAACAAAAAAATCCGTTACTTTATATTCCATTTATTCCTTTTGCAGCAATATATTTAACATTAAGAATAATATGGGACACATTTAGATTATTCGTATTTTATTCATTAGATTTAATTGAAATGGGCTTAATAATGCTTGGAAACTTTTTAATACAAAATATTAAAATGATACCAAAAGTTTGTGCAGCAATACCTTCATTATGGAAAACTTACATTCAAACCCCATTTCTTAAGATGTCATATCTTTTGTTAGATTGGTCGTATTTATATGTATGGCCGGTACTTAAATCTACGGTAATTATTGCGTGGGACATCAGCATTGTGACATGGACAAAAGGACGGGAAGTTACAATATATTCATGGAAGTTTTTAGTAAAATATTCTAAAATTGGATGGGATGAAATAATATTTCCATCATTAAACTTTATGTCATGGGTAGTAACCACATTCATTATTGAACCAGGTAAATGGATGATATCTAGTAGTGTCTATTTAGGAAGGATATTTTGGTATTGTGGATGTTTCCTCGCCAGAGATTTAGCAGAAGATTTTAAAGAATTATTTTGTGTTGGATGGAAAATTAGCGTATTAATATACAATAATGTATTACACCCAGCCGGAAAATTGGCTAATAGAATTTATGAAAAGTTTAGACATTATTTTCCTAAACTCCAAAAAATTTTATATGTAAGATTTATATTGGCTATAACAAATGAAGCGATTTATATTATATACGAAATCTGTAGAGATCCATTATTTCGTAGTTGTGCAGAATACATTTATTCTATCTTACAATCTGCAATTATTTATAATATAATCAAAAAACTTATCAGCGATATATCTAGTATACTACAAATCATTAAACCAAAACTTATGAATCGTCTTAAACAATGTGGACTGGAATTAATCGAATTCACATTTATGTCAGCGTTGGAAATATCTAGATCAGCATACTTTTATTATACCATATTATTACCAATATTCATCAACATGCCAGTAATTTATAATGAATTTAAACAAATTTGTAATGAATTCTATAGAAATGTTAAGGAGCGTGTATCGAAAATTTTGAAATCATTATGGACAATATTCGCTCCTTTATTACGTCCCATAATATTAGCTTTAAGTTTCTTTTATACAACAGTAATTTTAGTTGTACTTTTATCAGCATTCAAGATGGGCAATTTTGTAGTATCAATATCAATCGAAGCACTTAAAGAGGCATTAGTTTTAGTACAAAAAGGTTTATCAACATTACATTCTATATTAGGATCAATGTATAATGCTCTCTTACCTTATCTTTCTTTAATATTACAAACAACAAAGGATATGATGTATGAGTTATATGTAGCAATTAATAATTTGGTGGCAGAATACTTTCCTTCATTTATGAATTATTTTACTGGAGTCATTTTAAGGCAAGTACAAACACTCAAAGAGTATGCAATGAATGCTTATGAAAAATATGAACCTGTCATTGTGGAATTAAAAGATCGTGTTAAAGTGACTGCTGACGAAGTTGTTTTAAATATTGGTCAAGGTATGATGGAATGGGTTAAAAAAGAGAAGGCATTAAAAGAAGGTGTTTTATTTAAAGAGGAATAATCAATAGTAATAGGAAAGAGCAAGGACTTTTTAAGAAAAAAATCATTTTTTTTTATATTTTTATGTTTTATATAAATCATATGTAATAACAAAAATTTTATAAAATATATATAAATACCTCATTTACATTTTGAAAATAAAGATATTTTTTACTGTTAACTTACAAAATTATATAAAGAATAAGTATAACTCAGTAAATACATGTATTATTTATATAATTTAATAATAGTAATAAAAAGGTAATTTTTATAATGTATTAAATGGAAAAATCTTATTCTTATTCAAAACTTGATAGTTCAGTTCACCTTTATACTTCCAAGGTTGTAAATAAATTTTGTATTTAATATAAAAAACACATTTTTATTTTCATAATAAAATAAAATACAATAAGATTAAGAAAATAAAATAAAGTAAACTATAATAAAAAAGAATAACATATATTTCAAGATAAAATTACAAAAAAACATGTAAATACAAACAGTTGAGCTGTTGGAGTGAAAAGTAAGAACTGTGAAAAATATTACTTTTTATTAATATATTATTTTTAGATTAGTAGTACAAAATTACATTACTAAAAATTTTTTAATAATGTTCTTAGAGTAGTTGTTGTAACTTGTTATTTTGTATTAGAATTGTAATGCTGACTGGAATTATATAGTTATCATATAAATTTTGCTTTTTTAAATTATTTAATATTATGTTTTAAAATTTATTTATATAGGTAATCTAAACATTACAAATTTTTTTAATTATATAAATTATAAGATTGCATTCCAATATACAATTTAATCTATTTAATATAAAAAAAAAAGAGAAAATAAAAATGGATTAATTTTTCATCCAACCTGAATATTCAATTTGTTTTAATTTTCTCTTTACTTTTATTTTTAAAGACAATTTTTTTTTATTATACTAGTGTTCACCTGTTGTCTACGACAACAGTTAATATGTAATTCCGGCCAGAATTAAAAGATCTGCAAAGAATTTCCTTTTTTGGAAATTTGAGCAACACAATTTTTTTAATTTCTNAATTTCCTTTTATGGAATCCTGTGTAACCCAAAATTTCAGTTTTTCGCCAGAAATAAAATTTCCTTTTTTGGTCTTGTGTAACATTGGCGACGAATAGGAGTAGGGTTACACAATTCAAATGACTTATTTATATGGTTAATCTAAACATAACGCCTACGTGATTGCAGTGTTTTTTAATATATAGAATTATATATTGATAGATATTTATAAAATATTTAAAAAAAAAATCTTTTTATTAACTTAATATTTATAAAATGGCTAAAATGTATTTATTTACAAATTAACAGATTATAACTTTAATTGAAGTAAATATAGCACCATTTGACATATCTCATTAAGGCAAATTTAATAGTTATATACCTATATTTTATCCTTTTATAATCACTAAATAATAAATTAATACAAATTAATATTCATTAAAATTATAAAAATTTCATTTTTTAAAATTAAATAATTCTATAAATATAAACTTTTAAACCTTAAAAATAATTTGCATACTTTAAAAATACATTCTAAATACATATTAGAAAATTGATACGTTTGAAGCGTCATAAATCATATGTTCATAATAAAATGTAAGAAATCAACAACACAATAATTAAAAATTCAGTTTATTTATGAATTAATTGTTTTATTTTTTTATTTTTTATTTATTTTCAGTTATTTTAATTTTTATTTTAAAAAAAACAAATACAAATTAAAAAAAACATAAAAAATATATTATAAAAATTATAAGAAAAAATTTATTTATCTTTTGAATGGTGTAAAAAACTTTTAAGAAATATTAAAAAATTAAGGAAATTTTAAATCAGGAGACATAAATAAAAAATATTATATATAATACATATAAATAAATTTAAGATTACACTTAATTCTAAGATTTTATTGGTCATATATGTATGCAAACAGATAATACTTTGAAGTAAAATGGAAGTGTTCTATGCATATGCTTTGAATAATAAAGCATTTTTTTTTAAATTTTTTTAGTTCTATTACTTTTATTTCAAAAGTTTTCAAGTTTTGTAAAGATTATTTAAATATATAAGGTTTTTGCAATAAAAAGGTATAAAACTCAAAAAAAAATTTAATTTTACTTTATATGTTAATAATTATGTTTTTTTTACTGAAATAAATGCAAATTTAATATTAATTCAATTTTTAATATTTTTTGAGTTTTGTACTTTTCTATTGCAAAGACTTCATATATGTAAAATAGAGTTAATTTTAAATTATTTAACTAAAAATTAATAAATTTATTTATATAAAATATATACATTTAAAAATTGCTTAATAGTTCGCTTCTTTTTATTTAAATTATAAATTAATTTAAAATATCAGATTTAAATTAGATTAAGGGCGTTCTCAAGCATCTCCCTCAATTAGACCTGATAGTGATGTCATTGTACTCAAGTATCACAATTAATGACAAGATCAATAGAATTATAAGTTCGATTTAGCTTGAGCATGCCTCTTTTATAGTTTAACATAAATTTTTTAAGCAACAGTTTTTTTTTATGATAACCAATTTTATAGTTTTCGACATGTCTATGAAGTTTCAAATCCAATTTTTAATGCAACCACTTTAAATGATTTTACGAACTTGCAACTTTTTTGCAACAGCAAAGTCAAATATTGGCTCTAAACGACAAAAAAAAGTAAATACATATTCTTTTTAAATGTAATATAGATCTTTATTGATTTCTTTTTTATAGGTATCTTCTTCCATTGATTGTAATAATCATGTCGCTATTTCTCCTGATTATGCAACTTCAACTTCAATTCCACTTACACCAATTCATGCTAGCAAGCCATCAAATCGATGAACATCAGCAGAAATTTAGATATTTATTAAAGAGGTTGGAGAACATTAACAAGCTTTGCAAAAAGTTAAAGATCCAAAGGAAAAAGGCCAAATTTGGAATAATATTGTTTCTAATATACAATCTTCTAATGTTGCAAGTTCCGTTTTAAAAGAGCGTTCTAAAGCTTCTATTTAACAAAAGTGGGACACAGTTTTTCAAAAATATAGAGAGTACTTTCTATAATTTGAGTAAAAGTTAAAAGATAATTCATATTTGTGTCAAAGTCTCTATTATTTCTTTTAAAATTTTCTTGCATTAAGAATAAAATAATAATTTTTTTATATTGTGAAAGAGCTTGCTGAGAACTCATTTTTGTCATAAAAAAATAAAGTAAATTATTGTAATGATTGAACATCATCTATCAATTGAAGATCATTGAGAAAAAAAGGTGGTTTTTAGCTCGCTTGTTGATCATCAAAATAAGAAACTCTTTGAAACTTTTTTGACCAATCAGATCATTAATCAGTCTATCAATTGGGGTGCTTGAGAACGCCCTAAATTAGACTTTAAATTATATAAAAAAATTAAAAATTTGGATTTTTTTCAATTTTTTTAACAATTAATTATCAAAAATTAATAAATATTATTAAAATAAATTTAATAGTAATTAAATCATTAAAATTAATATTAATATGATAATAAAAAATTAATATATACCTATCACTAATATAATTTCAGTAATTTTAGCATTCAATTAGTTTTACTAACTTTTTAATAAAAATTTATTATAATTTTACACTAATTTTGCCAAGTTTTATTTTTTTAATATTACATTAATTTGCAGTCACTATAAATACTAACGTTTTTAATATGCTATTAAAATTCTTTAATTTTACTAGTAATTTTAGATATTATGTAATATTATATAGTAATATAAAAAGGGATTAAAATTTAAACGCATCTGCATTTTGAATGTACTCTTCTTTTTTGAAAATTTTTATATAATAAAAATGCTGATTATTTTATCATATAATATTAAAAAATTACTGATTTTTTTGAATAAATGCAATTTATATCTTATATATTTATAAATAAACTCATATTATATATATATTTTTACCTCTTCTACAACTTTATTTATTATAGCAAAAAGGGTTTAAAACTTCATTTTTGACTTATATTATAAGAATACGTTTAAATGCAGGTATGTTTAAATTTTAATTTCATATAAAAATATTCAAAAAATAATATTATTAAAAGAAAATTTTATTTTTCATTTTCCTGAATTTAATATATAAAAATAATGTTAGGCCAATTATTTGGCAATTATTTTCAAGTAATTTTTGATAAAAAATAAAATTCAATATAAATTCATATAACTTTTAAATTATAATTTATAGATAATTTTGCCTGCTTTACAAATTTACTTAATATCTTAAAAAAGATTTTGATAATTTATAATTTATTTTTATTTTATTTTTATTTACTCTCATAAAAATTGATATTTAATTATGGTAAAAAGTTTATGTAATCATAAACAATAACCTCTAAAATATTTCACTCAACAAGCAAATGTTCCCAATGAGTTATAATTTATAATTTAAAAAAATAAAAAATATTAAATCTTACATAGAATTAGAAATAAATTTACTTTTATTAAAAATTTTTTTTTTTTTTTTTAATTATACTTAAAGGAGATCAGTCATTTTTATTTAATGATGTAATTACAATAATCACAACATATTTACAAAAAATAAATAAGACCATACCTGCATGCAGATAGACCTTTGAGTCAAAATTACCCAAATATGAACTGTATTACCATTATAAATACATTAAAAACAAAAAAGTAATGTAAAAAATTAAACTTCTTTATGATCTTCATAGGGTTCCTCCAAAGGACACCATTACACTTTATTAAAATGTACAGCTTTATTACTGTATACACTAATTCATCATGGTGCAATCCTATAAAGAATTGGCACGTTCTGGAATGAAATTCATAGATCACATTATATAGCCTTAACTTCCATCACATCCAGGTGAATACACTATATATGCCACCCAAATTATTTTGGGCTGCCGTAATTATAAGTAAAATCCCAAATTCAATTATGACATCCCAAATTATTTTGGCACTTTACATAGTAAATTATATATAAATTGAATGAATTACGACATCCCAAATTATAATTATGGCATCCCAAAATAATTTGGACAGCATGTATAGGATACACTAGGTCCAACCTATACACTTTAATGTAATTTAATGTATCTAATTTTGAC